TTCCATCAAAAATCCCAGCCTTTCATAACTCACGATGCCATGATCTCTGATCCAGTTATGAAGGCAGATGCTTTGGCTTCACACTACCATAGTATCTTGAATTCTCCTACTCCAGCTTCTATCTCAGAAGCAATACTGCTTCCTTTGGCTCTTTCACTTAGCTGTGATGATAATTCATCCATAAACCAGCCATTCACATTGCATGAGCTAGAAAATAGTATGCATAACCTTAAAAACTCATCCCCGGGGCTAGATAACATCCACAATAAGCACCTTGCAAACCTAACCTTAGAGTACAAACTATGGCTTCTCAATATCTACAATGACAGTTTCTCTTCTAACACAGTGCCCATAGAATGGAAAACTGCACTAATACAGCAATCCCTTGATTAGCACGGTTTTGAATACCGCGGTTTTGATTAACGCGGAAAAATAATTTGTGACCTACCCTTAATCTACGCGGTGCCAGTTTTGATTAGCGCGTCTTTTTTTCACAACACATCATTTTCCCGCCTCTAGCCAGAGGTGTTACGTTCGGAACAAAAGTGTTACTTATTGCTTATTAGATCTTATGTTGTTACTTTTGTTACGACTTTTGGAAAAATTTGCCAAATGTTGTTACTTTATGAATTTCAGCCAATAATTCTTTAAATAAGGTCCCATTCTGTAGGCACTTGTGCTGACTACAGAGTCGGTTTAACCGCGCCTTGTCTCGTTCATAACTCGAATGGTCGAGTTCGGCAACGTTTGCCGGTAAGTGCGCCATGCCGGTGCTCTAGTTACTTGTTAGCCTTCAACTGGTCAAGATCGCTGCCATATCTACTGCTCATTTTTATCAAACTACATAATTTTCCTTGATAAATTACCGTCATAATTATGGACAAAAAGGGAACACTTAAACGTAAAAATATCACTTTGGAGACTAAGCTTGAAATAATTAAGCATTTTGATAATGGTGAAACGAAAAAATATGATGAATTTTAGTGGAAAAAAAATTATTATGTAACTTTGCTATTTTTGAGGATTCATTATAATTATTCCCATATATTCTTAAGTTTGATTAGCGCGGTTTTGCTTAACACGGTAAAACTCGGGGATTTATTAACCGTGTTAATCAAGGGATTGCTGTAATCCCAATTGCAAAACCAAACAAGCCTCTGACAAATGTATCTTCTTATCGCCCAATTTCACTGCTTTCATGCGTTGGCAAGTTGCTAGAATCCTTGATCAACAAACGCCTGACCTTTTTCCTGGAAGAAAGGAAAGCATTCCGACCAAGTCAAGGAGGCTTCCGATCTTGCATGTCTGCTGTTGATCAGGTGGCCAGACTGACTACAGCGGTGCGAGACACGCTGAACAGCAAAGGTGTCATGGTGGCAATATTCTGTGATTTTACTAGCGCTTTTGATACGGTATGGCACAATGGCATCCTATACAAGCTTGCCAGATGTGGTGTACAGGGAGTAATGTTGAGATGGCTCAAAGCATACCTAGAAGACAGACGCTTTCAAGTTTTCTTTGAGGGGGAACTTTCCTCAATGAGAAGGATAGGCTCAGGAGTACCCCAAGGAGCCATCCTTTCCCCCACACTTTTTAACATACTACTACTACTACTACTAAATATACTTAATACAGTGAAGTATTCCATTTTGATCCGCAATTGACCGTAGTATGTGTAGTAGCAGCTTGTGACCTGAGGCATTGTTGTGTGGTCACCGAGATTTGAAAAGGACAGAAATTTAATAGAGAATGTTCAAAGACATGCAACAAGGATAATTCCTGGCTTGAGTCTTACTGTCTTAGGGCAAGTCCTATGAAGAAAGATTGAAGATTATGAAGCTTCCAAGCCTCAGTTATTGACGTCTGCATGGGGACCTCACTGAAGTATACAAGTATACTCATGGTCTATACAAGGTCCCTGAAGGGTTACTAGAATTTGAAACAAGAACCAACACCAGGGGCCACGGCTATAAGCTAAAAAAACTGCGCTGCAACTTCTCCACACGACAAAATTTCTTCTTGCTTTGAATCACCGACATGTGGAACAGCCTCCCCGATGACATCGTTGGCACTCCAAGTATGAACGCGTTCAAGAACAGACTACCTAGATAAAGCTATGGAAAAATATATGTTCAGATTTGAAATGCCTAGCTCCTTATCAAACCCGGTGGAAGTCTAGTAGCTACTTCAAACTATCGTCAGTCATGAAAAGATCCGGTCAAATGACACAATTTTAGATCTTCTATGAACAAGGCACAAAAAGGAAAAGAATCGGCAACATGCCACTGTTGCCACATAAGGCCTACAGTGAGGCCTACACTTCAGTGCCGGCATCACTATGTTATGTTATGTTATTGTTGGTTTTAAGTTGGTGTGGTCAATTGAGTACAGTTCCATAGGTGCGTACCAGGGTTACAATATCTATTCTATATTATATAGCCTGTAAGTATAGCAGATTAGCAGTAGCACTTAGTTAGACTCGCCTGACTCGGTATGCTAAGTTAGAGGGTTGGATTGGTGTTTGCTCCAACTCAGCCTCCAAGGCTGATTTAAGAGGTAAATTTGTGGGTAATTGTGGCCTACGGGCTACAACTGCACCCTCCCTGACTCATGACTGAAGGCTGTGGGCTGCCGCCTGTGGAGCTAGCAAATTGTGTAGTAAGACTAAGTGTCACACTTATAAAGCTGAAGGCCCAAAGCACAAGCTAATTTTAAAAGCCTTGCACAAGAAATTTGAGCTGATGAGCAGTGAACCACTAGTTCTTAGTTTTTTCCTAATATTTGTCCCTGCCCTGTAAAAGTTAATGTGTTATTTTCACACTATTTTGCTGTTGCTACTGTTTTTTAGGATTTGTCAATGTTATTGTACAATTGTAAGTCCATAGTCCCGTCCAGTTCCACTATCCATACTCCATAGCAAATAGCAACATAACTGTCTTCACAATAGCTAACATATATTGAAAAAGTTACACATAGGCCTACATGCCTAACTGCCAAAGTATATAAAAAATCACTTGTAAAACAATCATTCTAACCAAGAATTCTTTGAACATTCTGCAGTTTCTGCCTGATATACCAAAATTGGAGCTCAGGCTCTAACTGGATTGCTTTTGAATATAAAAGCCAGTTTATGCACTAAATCAATATTTTTTCTGTAATTTATTGCAAATTATATGTAAGTAATTTGTGTCAAAAATCAAACTCAAGTTCTCAACAACCCACTTGAAAGTTGAAGTCCAGCTTAATGGCATAGAATAGAACTAGGTACTAGTAGGTAGTCAACTAGAAAATATATCAAATGACAATGTGAATTATTGAGTACGGTAATCATATGTACCCCCAGGGCCCCAGGCCCCAAGTAAAAAGTCCAAACCAGTCCCAGGGTGCAGAAAGTGGGTGAATATTGAAAGATCTGTGGTGATCCATCAGCAGCAAAATTTACACCTTCAGAAGAGCTTGCCAACACATTGGGATTGAAATAATTGCATTTTAGAAATTATTTTGTAATTACTGCAAATCTGAAAGACCGCAAATGCACACAGTAAGGTTTCCGGCAAGTTGGATGGATCAGGATGCAGTGAAGCTTGTCTGGAAATCAGTTGCGATGAGTGTAAGTGTCGCAGTGCATGGAGAGTAAGGGATATACTATCAAAGTTGCCTGCAGTATTTCTTATAAAAAATTACATTGCGACGCATCTTGAAAACGACTATCAACGTTTTGGGCTAAAAATAAATATCTCGGCATCATTGGCGATGCTGCTTGCAAACTCTGCACCCTAGCAAACCACCAATAATAGCCATTGGTTGAATTTCATGCAAATTCAAGGTCAATTTAAAACTTTTTAGTTGTAATTTGATAGAGTTTAAAAAATATAACTCTGTACTCATACAGTGAGTGATAGAGTGCTCATTTTCTTGTTGACGAAAATGTGAAGTCACGGACAGACCAACGGACGGACATGACAAGCACAATAGGGCATTTTTTCCATAAATAAGAAAATGCACTAAAACCATGGATACCTCATGTTATTTCATATTTTATTTATATTAATATATTAATTACCTTCTTTTAATATTTAAAATTTCAGTGATGATGTGGAGTCATTACTCCTTGTAGTTAAATCGAAATGCTACCCTCAATCCAAAAATAAACATGCATAATGAATCCATTTCATGCTTCATCCTGTTTTGTTTAATCAACATGCCCTTCATTCCTAATAACTTCCGTAAAAAAATAACCACAAATCTCATAGTCTTGCCCATCAAGTGTTGAGATACTCTCCCAACACATCTATTCTTGGTGTTTGATCAATAATATTTTTGCTGTTTTGTTCTAGAACAATTATGTAGGCCTGGTAGGCTATTTAGCAAACTATGTATTAACACTTACCTTGGAGAGAACTGCTCTGCAAGTCAGCAGTGGAACTTTGTCAGTCTCATGACCTAAGTGTTCCACAAGCTACAGAGGTGGCAGGTACTCAAGCTTTCTCGCTCATTCATCTCATTTCATGTCATTTTTGCAATAGTGGGCAATGAACTCACAGCCAATGAGATCAAAAAACTATTTGAAAAAATTAACTTTGAGAAAGAAACTACCTTTAAATGCATTAGAATCTCACCATTGGCAACATCAACACAATATAGATCAGTGGGAGTTGTCATACACAGAAATGGATCTATTGAAACCTGAAATTTGGTCTTTTCATTCTTAAAATTCCTAAAAATGGTTTCAAGTTCAGAATTGTCTATTTGAAGACTGCATTTATTAGGATACATGTAAGTTCAGTGTATTGATGCCTGGTAAAATAGTCGCGGTGTATTTAAGATGGAAAAAAATACTTAACAGAATGCTGGACAGAAATCATTGCACACAAGGTTGCAGTGTGACACAATAACCCAAGGCAATTTGGGCTAACTTTGCCAATGTGAACACCTTTCAAACCTTTCCCAGCTAAGTGAATGTATAGAATAATTTTAATGTTTATTTTGTATCTTTTTGCAGTTGAAGTCATACTTTGAAAATAAAGTCTAGTCCATTTTCAACACTTAAGTCCCGACTTGAGGTTAGACACTCAAAAGCATGGAGAAGTTGAGACAGCATTTTAGCAGGATAAAGATCCCTCAGCCTAGTGATGCTGTATATAAGGATGAGTGCATGTACTCCTTTGACTCTCCGGTAAGTTGTTAATTACCTTTAAGTGAATTAGGTTTACAAGATACCTAAAAATATCTAGTATTAGGCTGTACATATTTTAAAACCTAATTAGAAATCCCTTATCCTCTACAAAGTATACATAGACAGCTCATAGCATGGTTTGATTTGTAAGCTGAACCATGTGCATTCATGATGAAATAACAGCTGTGTATTATAGCTGGCAGATTTACCTTGTATAAATTGTATAAAAATGTTAAAACCATATTGCCATTTTTTTGTTACAGGAATGGTGATTTTTTTTTTAATTTGCTCTGATATAAGTAATGAAATCATTCCAGCTTGTATCACTTTTTTACAGGATGGTTTCATTTCATTTATTTGTGTGATACTGACTTCTTCTTACAGTTCTCATTACCCATTGCACATGTTATATTTCAAATATGATCAATGTTTTCAGTTTCTAAATCTAAACATAATCATAATTATGACCAATTACCACATTGCTTGGCAATGTGCTGCTTACATTTGGCATGTAAACTATATATACATTTATATATTTGTATTAGATGGCAGAATTTTCTTGTTTATATGCATGCAATTATTGACCACAGAATGCATTAGTACAATTTTCATGGAGCCGAAAAAGTCTTTAGATGATGTTGATAGATCAAAAAGCAGGTTTAACAAGTAATAATAATATGTTAACAATGTTTCAAATGTAACAACCTTCATTTTATAAGTTGAGAGAAGCATTGAATAATGAAATTTTGTTTGACATAAGTACATAATACAGGTAAATAGAATACATCATTAAAATTTTAAGCCAAAAAGTCCCTCTGCAAATAATTTCAATGTTTAAATAAATCTGGTATAGTTTGGAAATAGATAGTTGGGGTCCAATCCAAAATAACGAGGGTTCCAGCAAGCATTGGTCAAGAGGCTCTTCTGCCCTCCTCTGCCCTCCTTCTTAACTTGAAAATGAATGTTGTTACATTCAAAATATTGATAGTATAGTATTAAATAATAATAATAGTAAAAGTATTAATAGTAATGATACTATTATTACTTGCCAAAGCTGCCTTTTGATCTATCAACTTCATCTATAGAACTGTTTGACTCCTTGAAAATGCATTCTCTGGTCATTAATTGAACACATATAAAGCTTTATGTACATATAAATATATGCACATTTGATTGAAGACCAGAGCATGCTTTTTATTAATACCGAAAAATGGGGTAACTTAGACCGGCGGGGTAACTTAGACCACTTTTCGTTTTTTTAACAAAAACCCCCACAACTCAAAAACTATTTGACATAGAAAAATTTTGTCAATGGGGCGAATGGGCATTTAAGGCCTAATACTGAGGCTACATAACACAATAGAAAGATTTAAAAAGTTTGCATATCTAATAGGTTAAAACATGAAAAATGTGACCCACGAAAAAAAGCTATTATTTAAAGCCTGTCAGACTACCGCTACCCCCTCCAATTTTTTTATTTTTTGGTTAAATAACTCCAGGTTTTGATGCATTGTAGTAGAACTCTTCTAGTTACATATGCAAATGACAAATTTTAGGAAAGTGTCATAGTTTGCAAATGGGGGCGCCACCCCCAATTGGGGTAACTTAGACCACCTAATGTCAGCCCTGATGGGGTAACATAGACCGGTTTGGAAGTTAATATAAAATTACCATATATAACATATTTTATGTCTGACAGCCTATTTATGTTTTTTCTTTGTGTTTCAGACTCTACAGAGTCTTATATATGGTAATTTAACTTAATTTCCAAGCCAGTCAATATTACCCCATCAGGGCTGCCATTAGGTAGTCACATTTCCCTCATTATGGGGCGGTGCCCCCCATTTGCAAACTATGACACTTTCCTCAAGTTTGTCATTTGCATATGTAACTAGAAGAGTTTTTCTACAATGCACCAAAACCTGGAGTTATTTGGAGTTATTTTACCAAAAAATATAATTGATTTTACCACCCGGTCTAAGTTACCCCAAGAGCTGGGGTAACAAAGACCATCACTTTTTTTGAAATTACGTAAAGACTATGAGAGGTAGGAGCCAGCAATTTATGGTGAGTAAAGCTAGAGTATAGACCTGTATTTTGCATGTTTCAATTCAAGTTTAATTTAGTTAAAAAATGGCATCATTTATAAAGAAAAAAGTGGTCTAAGTTACCCCATTTTACGGTAATCTTCTTGTTCGTCTTTTCAATAAGTCAAACCAAATTTCTTGCTTGCACTGTGAGATCAAAAAGCAGGTTTCCAAATGACATTTTAATAGATTGTGATGTTTCAAAAATACAATTTTCATTATCAAGCTGGTGGTTTTAAACCTTCACAGCTTGATAATGAAAATTGTATTTTTTAAATGTTGCAATCTATTAAAATATCATTTGGAAACCTGCTTTTTGATCTCCCGGCGTCAGCAAGAAATTTGGTTTAACTCAATGGAAAGATGAACAAGAAGATTATTAATAAAAAACATGCTCTGGTCTTCAATCAAACTTGCATAAAAGAGAAGCTTCTGCCGAACTACACCAATATAAATATATTTCCACCAATCCAGACTATTATTATTTTAGTACCCAATGGCTTTTGTAAATTATAAAAAAGTAAAAAGAACTTGAACTGGCTGGACCTAACCCCTCTAGAAAAGTGTCTAGCAAAGTGAAGGAGCATTATATACACAACTAACTCTAAACCTAACCTAACAAGGTTGGCTTTTTCTAGAATGTCCAGTAATGTAGTTCATTTATTTATGCATCTGGTTTTTATTTACGAATTAGTTACAGAGTACATTACTTAACACAATTTTTTCTGGATTTCTAACCCCCGTTTGGCAATGTTACTACCAATCTTGTCTGGCTATTGACTGATGGTTGGAACTATACTTTGACATGTATCATGTATACCAATTCACGAGTACTTGTTTCCTCTATTTATATATACTCACTATAGATATGTTCTTTGAAGGCAACATGTTACAGTTGCCATTTATTAATGTTGGTTGTATGATAAAAGATTATTCTTCAGCTATTTGTTTAGAGGTAGAGCTATTCTGGATAGATAAGCCTGGATTTTTTGGTCTGAAGAGATCCTTTGTTATACCATACTATGCATGTTCTGAGCTGGTTATAAAATCAATTTCTTTAAACAGGACTCCATCACTGGTCTATATGTGTGTCTCAATACATTCCTTGGATTTGGACGGAAGTATGTGTTGGACTACAGCAACAAGTCTGGCAACTGTGTCTTCTTGCACCGCACCAGGACTAGAAGAGAGGTCAATAATATTGCTCCTTACTTTTATTGACCAGCAATTACATAGGTATTAAGTTTTGCCTTAATGGTACACTTGTTTGTATATATTGATACATTAGTAAAAATGGTGTCATCACTCTCTCCTTAAGGAATAATATTATACATTGCCATGTATCTGGAATTTATATTTTTTACAATTTTATTGTCTATCACAGATCAAATATATTCAGGTATTTATACATTAAGCCTCTTTGGAGCTTTATATTAACTTTCATGACCTTATTCTTCATATTCAGTGATGCTAATAGCTTTATATTAAATTTCTGGACATTCTTCATATGCCATCATGATATTAAGCTTCAAAATTTAAGTAACTTTTAATCTAATTTCATTTATTTCAGGTGCCATCAGAAAAAGAAGCTGAACCTGACAAGAAGATTGCTCGGCTTGCAATAGGTGTAGAAGGCGGCTTCAATCCTGATGTTGGGGCCAAGAAATACGAGTATAGTACTACTTTGGCTGTGGTTATACTACCGGATTTTGAAGTCATTACCTTACCAAACGATGACCTACCACAACTGGTTTGTTATTTACATGTTTATTAAGGTGTAAAGATATGCTTTCTTATTTAATTTCCAATGTCTCATAAGGTAATAATAATAATTATTAATAATTAATAATACTAAGAATTAATACTTTTATTTATTAATCAGTATTTATTATTACAATCACTTTCATATTGAGTATTTTCTCCATTCTTCCATTTTAACATAACTTGTAAAATTTCATAATGAATCATTATATAGGTATATTTTCAAAAATTTGAATTGAACTATAGCTAATATGAGAAATTAACTATTAGCAATTGTTAAAAAATGTGCTGCTGCAGGGTGCGTACCAGTCATGGAAAACCTGGAAAGTTGTATTCACGTCTGGAAAATTACAAGTCGTATTTGACTTTCCAGGTTTTTCATGACTGTTATGCACGCTGCTGCTAGCAAATTTCAGTGAATACACCAGCCTGTGATTTTTGACTCTCGTTGATTTTTCTGATGTCTCCGGGCTGCTTTTGATTTTATTGGATGGCATGTATATATTGAATAAATGTTATTTTCACTACTACCAATTCTCTACTCATTTTGCTAATTGTATTTTACCTGTGTTGCTCAAACTTAAGGTTTTAAGCTGAATATAGTGTTAACTTGAATTATAACTGTAAATATTGGTGTATATTGAATATTTGTTGATGAGATTATAAGAGATTATTACAGATTAAGTTACTGCCTGAACATTTTTTAATTTATTGTCTGCATTCATTCACATATTGGGGTGCAGGTACAGGTACGATATAGAGTTAAGGTCTGCCTGGTAATTGTGGTTTTAAATTCAACTTGAATAACTGAATGGATTTTAAATTTCTGTGAAGCAATCTCATACAGAATTAAAGTAAGAAATTTCTTGTCTGTGGCATTGACGCCCATGTTATAGCACAAAGTAGAGCAGCTGGCAGGGAGGGAGCTGATTGGAGATCTTCATACTCAGGGCAGGAGAGGAGAGGCTAGTGAGCCAGGGCCTGGCAGGAAGCAAAGATTCATTTGAAGCAATAATAAAGCGTGGGTCAACAGAGACATTGTTGTTTTTGGCTGCCTAGTTCTTATAGTTTTATAGTTGCAATGATGAATGATACTCCTTAGAGAAGCTTCAGAGCATTAAAGAAACTCAGGTTTAGCTACTCTTTCAGGGTGCTTTAAGTGTCAGCAGCTCAGATGTTTTACGCTAGGGAAGGCTGAGTCGCTGGTGCCTCTCATGCCTTAAAAAATTGGGTGTTTACTCAGCTTTTCAGAAAAGATGAAGCTGTCACAGATCAATGCTGAAAAGTAGCTCCTTTGTTGAGTGGTTTCAAAGGTCAGAATCTTGACGGACGATTTTTCAGTAGCTACGTTGCCGTAGCCAACTTCTTTTGTGTGGATTAGGTAGAGACTCCTAGAAAACTTGGCAGCCCGCGGCTTTGAACTCCGGGAAGGTGACAAAGATGGTGATGTCATTCAGGATGGGTAGCCATTCTGAGAGCCGGGACTGGACAGTCCCATACAAAGTGGTTGTTAGCAAATTGTCTGTGCTATTTAACCATTGAGCTTATTATGTTGATCTGTTGCCTATTTACTTGAAGCAATAATTGACTTTGTATTTTTTAGGTCCTAGAGAGCGTGTTAGGTGTGGAAAAGGCTGAAGGTGCATTGCAGCAGGCAGCAGCAAACTGCGGTGGCGGTTCTTGGGACGGAGAAGTGCGCCAGATTTCCCGTCATGCAGACAGTATTCAGCAGCTTGACAATGGTGTTAAGGTATGCATATAACCTGATAGAATTAGAGAGTATTAGGTATAATCACATAATTGCTTGAATTTAACTGATAATAACTTTATGTTTGGCGTTCCTGTTAAGTTGATTGTTCGAAACAGCTCGACAATAGTAATGTAAAAGTATGTATATAACTTTCTAGAATTTAGCTAACGTAACTCTAACTTACTTGAATTTTAACAATAGTGTATTTGCGTTCTTTATAAATTGAAATAAGCAAGCAACTCGGAGCCTGGTTGTTTATTTCATCAGATCACCACCTATTCAGTGTGCCTGCTACACCAGGAAGTTTGTACATTTATGACGTGTTGCGTAATTCAATATGATGATCAGGTGCCGCCTAAAGGCTGGCAGTGCAGCCAGTGCGACCTCACGGACAACTTGTGGATGAACCTGACTGACGGGGCCATACACTGCGGCAGACGGCAACTGGACGGCTCTGGTGGCAACAACCATGCCGTGGAGCACTACGACCAAACCAGTTAGTCCAGTTATCCTTCTTCTGCAATTCTTCCAGCAATTAGACCTTTCAGTAAAAGTGCCAATCAATTCTTTATTGAATATTATTCATGCTCCGTCAATCCCACTGGACAGTTTCTTCTTAATGTAAGTTTAATGCAGCATAAATGCTCTAAGTTTGAATTCGAAATTCTGAAGATTTTCAATCATTAATATTATTAAAGTTCATTTGTATATTACTTTCACGATGTAATGCTATCTTGAAAAGAATCAACTAATAAATATTGATAATGCAACAGCAGCATCTTCAACAATCATTACAGTTCAAGTTCATCTCAATTCCTTCTTTAAAATTGTACAATGTATGTTTTCTTTTAAATTTCTTAGGTTGAATGGTCTTATGTCATCATTTGCCCGAAAAAAACCTAAATTACCATAGATAGATTAGGGCTAATTATCCATATTTCTGCAGAATATCCACTGGCGGTGAAGCTAGGCACAATCACGGCTGACGGCAAGGCTGATGTGTACAGCTACGCTGAGGATGACATGGTCATTGATCCGCACCTTGTCAAACATCTCGCCGTGAGTGCCTGCTATGTGTTTACTGAACACCAATAGTCCTTCAATCCATAATAATCTTCTTAGCATGAGTTATAAATAATGATAAACATCCATCCGTTCCAATTTGACATTAGTAACAGTTTCTATACCTAGTTCTGTTCTCACTATTCCGAGTCCAAATCGCTACTAGCAGTTACAAGCATTTTTGTACTGCATTTATATTTAACAATATATAGTATACGGTATATGATACGATTTTTTTTGTGTCCGTGAACAAGAGGCAGTACTGTTGGGAAGTTGGGATATTTGCTAAAAAGAAACTTGAAATCTTTGCACATGTTTGCTGAAGGTCTTAAGGTATAAGTTCATACTTGCAGTCCGGAAACAAGCAGATTTTATACTTTCATTGTTATCGCTCCTGGAAAATTTCACAGTAATGTTTGTTCTTCTTGTTATCCGATTAATTGTCTCGCTTACTATGGTTTAATGAGCAAGCAACTCGTCTATCTATTGAAAAAATAAAATTGGTTTCTGCCGAGATCAAATAGTCTACATTCTAATATTTTCTATTGTTTTTGTTTCCACGATGCTAATACCGCGGTTTAACGTCAGTTCCACTGTATTGCCGTAGTTGCTTTCTCTGCTGATATCAAGTATTGTACGTATGTATATACATGTTTATTGCCTTGTGTATTCATTTTTTTTTATTTCCATAATGATGATGTCCGGATATGGCGTCGTTTTCAATGTATTGCCTATGTTGCGTTTCAGCACTTTGGCATCAACGTGTCAGTGATGGAGAAGACCGAGAAGACCATGGCTGAGCTCGAGATCGACTTCAACCAACGCGTGTGGGAGTACTCGCGCCTCACAGAGAGCGGCCAGAAGCTCGTGCCTATGTTCGGACCTGGTTACACGGGTGGGTGCTGGGATGCGAGTGTGGTGGGTCAAGTGAGGGAGTTTGGTGGGTGGGTATAGTATAGTATATAGTAAATCTTTTTACTGTTTGCCATACGTTCTATTCTGAACTGGCTTAAGCCTTAACTCAAGAATTCCCGAATTTACGATATCATGGTTGAAGGTTTTCTTCCATGCCCATTAGGTGACAGATACACGATTTTTTTCTAGCTACCTATAAACTTTCAATAAAATACCAGCTTTCTCGCGCTGATCTTCTTCGGTTTGTTGAACACAGGACTGCGCAACTTGGGCAACTCTTGCTACGTGAACTCAGTGATGCAGGTGCTGCTGACAGTTCCGCCCCTCGCGGAGCGTTACTATATCAGCGGCCCAGAACGCCTTGCTGCTGTCGAGCCTAAAAGAATACCTCAGGATTTCGACGCTCAAATGGCTAAACTGGCCATTGGCCTGCTATCTGGCGAGTAAGTTGGAGATGCAATTATTTGATTAAAAGTTCAAATCATTAGGCTTTTCAACACACTTGGCTAGTTTAGGGATCATTGATGAAATGCAGAAATGGTGATCATTGTTCTAAATTTTGCGTCTGGCAACTATACAGTTAGGTAACTTTCTTTGTAAAGGAGTCATCAACGTATTCAAACTGAAGCAGTATTTGTGATAAATCTCGATCTTGGTTACTATGAAAGCTGAGCCGTTAAACGTAAACAGTATAGCTGGGCAGCTTGCTTTTGGTCTGAGCGAAATCCGCCACTCTCGCCGATCAAGTAGTATTACAATTTTTAACCGCTATATTACAATTTTTACTCCTGACAAAACGAGTGTTTATCTGGTACAGGTATTCAAAAGCGCCCGCAGACTACGACCCTTCCTCCGCGGCTGAGGTGGATATCGATGAGCTGCAGCCTGGCATCGCCCCTGGCTTCTTCAGGTCCGTGGTGGGCAGCCAACACCCCGAATTCAGCACCAAGAAGCAGCAGGACGCCATGGAGTATTTGGAGCACGTGCTCAAACTCATGGAGAGGAGCTCGCTTAAAGCTGGATTGCCTGATCCTGGACACTGCTTTAGGTTTGGGGTGGGTGCAATGCATATTTTTTTCTAACTCAAACCTGCAATTCAGACGGTTTTTTTTATTTGTATACTTTACAAAGGCTTTTTATTCCAAACTGTTCATTTGACAATTCCGTCGGTGTTCGTGGTGTACTGAAGCGGCCGTCCAGCGTCAGAAAGAAAAACTGAACTGCTACGTCCGACAAAAAATTAAAGATACGGGAGGCCCGAGGCCGTATAATCAAAAATAGTTACAAGCATTGAACAACGTCAGCCAATTATTAACTTCTTGGCACCCTAAAGCCAAAGATCTCAGACGAAAAATCGACCGCCACGTGTACTTAGACCGCTACGTGTATTTAGACCGCTTCGTATATTTAGACCGCTACGTGTACTTAGGCCGCTACGTGTACTTAGACCGCTATGTGTACTTAGACCGCTTCGTATATTTAGACCACTACGTGTACTTAGGCCGCTACGTGTACTTGAGCAAATTCTGATAGTATTCCGCCTCAATGATGCATTTTTTTTGTCAGGTGGAGGACAAGTTTGTGTGCAGTGCGAGCGGTTGCGTGCGGTACGTTGAACGGAGCGACCTGTACCTGCCTCTGCCGGTGCCGCTGGAGGCCGCGACCAACAAGCTGCAGGTTCAGGAATACAACCAACGCAAACTAGACGCCGAGAAACTTGGCAACAGATTGTACGTTGCATATTATTATTGTCTCGTGTTTTAAGATTATTGGTAGTCATAGGACGTTTCTGATTTTATTTATGTACTATGATATCAACCGTAATAAAAATGTTCTGGAATGAAGTTAGAGATTGCTTGAGAGTTAAGCTATATTCTTTGTGACAATGTCTGAAATTGTTCGCCCATGATAAAATTGTTTTTGAATAAAATAGAAAAGTTCATCGTCCAAAGCACGGAATGATTGTGCTTTCATCAAAGAATCTACTTGTAAAACACTTTGTTGATGATTCTAATTGTTTGCAGCACCGAAGATGCTGTGCGTTCCAGCATCCCATACGAAGCTTGCATCTCGAAGATGGTCGCACCTGAAGTGCTGACGGCCTACAGTTCTGCAGCTAAGGCGTCTGTGCCTATGACCAAAACCACCAGGATTACCACGTGCCCTGACTATCTGTTCATTCAAGTAAGTCTGATCTCCTAACCCAAAACTTCATACCCGTTACAGTAGTTGAGAGAAACATCATCTGCTGTATCAGTTTAGCCCTTCTTTGATTTTGTTTCTCGGCTAATCAATTTCACTTCACGTATTATTTTGCAGTGAAATTTATGACCATTATCATGTTTTTGATTGCTAGGCTGAGGCTGCGATTGCATGAATTGCTTCTACGACCGCTCATGCTGTAAAAAATTTGTATATTGGCAAGGCCTGGATAGAAATTCCATTCCTTGTAGATGAAGGTGACTCTTCATCAGGGATGATTAATATCATCCTATGAATGATACCATCCCACCCTTAAGTGTGAACTCAAGGGTGGTAGTTCCAGTTGATTGATCATCGAATGACATTTGTGCTAGATTAGTCAACATCCATTTCCTTCAGTGCGTGTAAACCTGTAGGAATTTCTCAGGAGTTACGCTAAAGAATTGTTAAGAGTAAAGTTCAAGAAGATGATACTAGTGCTTCCGCAATTAAGAGCACCCGCACTCCAGTTTTCCTTCAATTCTTATTATCCGGCAATTGAAACCTTACACTTTTTAATTGTGTAGCTGGTGAAGTTTGACGTGACGGAGACCTGGGAGCCGGTAAAGTTGGACGTGTCGGTGAGGATGCCAGACACACTGCACCTCTCCGTCTTGCGCAGCGCCGGGCGACCTGAAGGGGAGAAGACCTTGCCAGACGACTCAGCCGATCAGCCGACCCCTGCAGGCAAGGGAAAATAAGCACTATGTCACATGTCATAAGTGAATTTGTTCATTATTTTATGATAAGTTAAACGAGTTTATTTAAAAAGTCACTTTTTAGCAATGGACAACCGTTTTTTCCTACTGAAAACAATAGTGGTATTTGTAGCCAAAAGAGTACCTATCGCATATATTATATATGTTCCTTAAAATATCCCAATTTAAAATTGCTTTATCATAATTTGAGTAGATCATAAGAACAGATTTATTATTTTGCATCATCGCCACGAGCAGCTGCACCAGTGATAGACGAAGCTGTAGTGAAGCAGCTCTGTGATATGGGCTTCCCTGTCGAGGCGTGCAAGAAAGCTGTTCATTTCACCGGCAACTGTGGTGCCGACGCCGCCATGAATTGGATCATGGAACATATGAATGACCCTGACTTCAGCCTGCCCTTGGTTACCTCGACGCAGTCCACAGGTGACTTAGCAAGTCAATGTAGAACTTCTGGAAACATAACTAACCCATCTACAACTGTACAAATAATAATAGATCTCAGTGGAAAATCACTTTTGATTTCCGCTTCTAATAAATATTTGTCCTCACATGTAATGATTATACCGTAATTACTATTATTAAAAATTATTATTGCTCAAAAACTAATTTTTTCTTATAACTTGTGGCAGGTGATAGCTTCACTGCGAGTGCTGAGGGTCTGATGATGCTGGAGAGCATGGGTTTCACAGAGCCGCAAGCTCGCCTCGCCCTCAGGGAGACCCAGAACAACTTGGAGCGCGCCGCCGACTGGCTCTTCTCGCACCAGCCTGAGCTCGAGCAGCTCGTCGCCAGGCATGAGCAGGGCGCTGCCGCTGCTGCTGCTCTACCGACTCATGCTCATATGCCCAACTTTACTGACGGCTCCTCTAAGTGAGTTTGTGGGAAGTTTGGATTCAAAGATAAGTATATATATGTGATTCAAATTATTCAATAGCTTGCACCTACATATATATTGTACTTTTTTTTATAAGATTCGCAGTATAAAACATCTCCTTCGAAAACCTACGTAGTTTGTTTATTCTTGGCAACTAATTAACCTACCTCACATATTATTACTCCCATGACTTGCAGGCAAATTTATATATTAAATAAATGACAATGTTATTTTAAATCAAGTTCAAAATGTAAAAAGCTAATTATTCCAGTTCTTATCCGTATTGCGCTATTTCTTTAAGATTATTTTGTTTTAATTGCCGCCTCATCAAATATCTGAGCGCCGACAAATTTCAACAGAAAATAGGAATTAAGTAAAATTTCTCACTAACTTTGTATGCCATCGTGCAGGTACGAGCTGGTTGCTTTCATAAGCCATATGGGGACGTCAATCCACGTCGGTCATTATGTTTGCCACATCAAGAAGGACGGCCAATGGACTATTTTCAATGATAACAAAGTCTCTAAGTCTGTAGACCCACCCATTGATCTCGGTTACCTTTATTTGTACAAACGAGCGGCATCTTAGCTTATACCGGCCTAGCAAAAGCACATTTTCTGGAAATCATTTATTTGAAAACGATAAGTTAGATTCCTAAATAGCAGGGTCATTTCAGACTACTATACTATGCTGATTAACAGTTTACCGATGTACTTCACATTTCGCATCGCTCGAGGGATGGCTTGGAGCCATCCTAATTTACAGCAGCTTGAGCAAGTTGAAAATAGAGCTACATGGCGCGGCAACGTTAGCAGCACGTAGTCTAGATTCCAAGTTGTGCCTTCAGCTTCTAAATTGACGAAATTTTGCTTTTCTAAACAGGTTTGTTCAGATTTTGCAATTATAGTTTCTCTGATTTTTCTATTTTGGCTAATTTTTCATTATTGTATTCAGTGTGGGAACTTCTTCATCCTCATGCAGGTATTCTTTTCTTGCGATGAGGTAAGTTAAAGAAGAGCTCATGACAAAATAGAGAAGTTTTATTGAATAACGTGCTAGCATTGTCGTGGTTACAGCCGTTTAATCTTTGCCGAAAATATGAATAGCAAACAGGTATTGATCATTAATAAATTAACCTGGGCACATGTTTGCATTGCACGTTTTGTAAACGTTTTCAGCTTGGAAAATAATCACCCGTGCAACGAGAGAGCACCTCACAATCATTACTAAACAAATGAGCATCGCGTTTGGATGTTAACTATTCATTTTTTAATTATTAATAAATGGTATGTTTGCCTTCTTATCTAAATTAGTCTGTCCTTTCAGGGAGAAAAATAATATTATATCAGCGTGGAATTGATTGCCACGGATCTTTCAGTCTCTGCTCGTATAATCAAACTATTTTAGAGAAATCCTTATTTGTACTGGTAGCGTCGTTCCATAGATTATTTAATCTAATTAGCATAAAGAGCCCTTGCTTTAATTTTCACGTCTGTCGTCGTTTTATCCATTAATGACAAATTCCTTCATTATGGATATAAAATCTTTCTGATGAGAATGTTAGCTAGGAACGCTTTACTTGGGTCTTCAAAAGACGATGAAGTTCTATCGTTCTCAAAATTTTTATTTTGCTTTTTGAGAGGTAATTCTGATTATGATGAATCAATTTCATGCTCTAATTTTACATCATTTCTTTTTTGGGTGAAAAGTTGCTAAGGGTGGACAGCTAGAGGTCAGCTTAGCTAGCCCAAGTCCACAGTGCGATTCATAACCCTTCCCGAGCGTAACGCAGCCGGGCATCTTCACGGCTTTCGACACAGAGCGCCCACCACAACAGCGCCGTTCAGTCACAGGCACTGTTTCACAACGCCGGAGCACAACAGGCCATACCGCAACAGCCACCATTAACGTAACCTAACCTAACCTGCGCCTGTTGCGGTAGGGCCTGTTGCGCTCTGGCGCTGTGAAGCAGTGGCTGTGTTCTGCAAAGCGAATATACTGTTAGCTGGAGTTATCCACAGCTCATTGATCTGAGGCTATGTGTAGATATTGCATGCTGATGGTTGGCGTTGGGCCCAGGGCCTGTTTACGAGTCAATTTTTTTACCCACGGCTGCGCTCCCGTTGCTACGATAGTAGCAATCGAAATTAAATGTTTAGTTGCTAAATTAAATTCGAGGTGGTCTGAAATCTGAAGGTATTAGGCTATTTTGTATAACAGTTTCTAATTTCCGTTACCCATAGACGAAAATTATAGGGGAAATGGGTATCGGAATGGTAAGAGCCTAAAGTAATGGCAGACTTGTGTTAATCGGTCGGATCCATTTTCTAACGGAACAGTCGATGCTGGAGAAGTTTGTCATATGGCAAGTCTATTCAATCTTTTCCGATCATAATGCTTTTAATCAGGTAATTTACAATTATTTATATATTGAACAAGTTATGGAATCCAATAATGACGGATTGACAGAGCTGGGCAGCGCTACTTTGAAATGTAGCGGCCGTTATCGTTACCGCTACGTGCTCTAAATGTAGCGGGCGCTACTGCTACCGCTACAATTGCTTAAATGTAACGCGCTACTGCCCACCTCTGGTAACAACTATGTTGACGCTAGTAACAGGCTGAGGTTGACAACATTACACCGAAATCTTTCGTACAGTTTTATTCTGTAATTCATTTTATGCATGTATCATCCTGGTTTTTAAATAATATTTAATCCTATTAAGTAAAATCTAAAGGCTTTATCTATAAATGTAGCGGCAAAACCTCGTATCGCTACTTAAATATGTAGCGGGCGCTACCGCTACAATTGCTTATATATAGCGCCGCTACCGCTACTGAAAATGTAGCGGCCGCTACATGTAGCGCGCTACTGCCCTGCCCACCTCTGCGGATTGACTTGTATTGCAACTAATGAGACTGAAATTCGCCATTGACAACAACGTCTTTGTAGCAAGATTGGCTAATTGAATCAAGGATTGAAAACTAGCCTATTTCTTTGCAATAAAAACTATATGCATCAGGACCCAGATTAAAATTTGCAACATTTTGTTATATTTCAAAAAAATTGTTATATTGGAAAAAATCGCATTCGTCTTCGTAGCAGTTCCGCACCGCGTCCGCGGGACATCCGCTGAAGTGAAGTTCAGATTGGGTCCAGGCTCCAGCTGAAATGTGAGAAAGTACAAGCGTGAAATGAGTTTCGATTTGTCTCTTGTGCTAGAAAGACGTATAAGACAGTCTAGCGTAAACAATCTGTTTAACAGTTAGCCAAATCTTAAAACAGCTCAATCTTGCCGATTTAAATGAACAAGCATAAAAAGAAAGATTTTCAAGCGCCAGGGCCCCCTGGTGGAGAAACGGAATGTGTGCACATGGCATCTCCAAACTGGGGCGCATCCAGATCCTTCTTGCAGACTTTCTATTGCGCCTATATCAGAGCAAAACTTGATTATGGCTCCATCTTGTATCAGTCTGCCTCACGTTCACTGCTCACTAAGCTGGATGTACTGCAGAACGCCTGCCTGCGCCTAATCTTGGGGGCACGACCGCACGACGCACAACTCCAATCATATCTCTGCAAGTTGAAGCCCATATACCAGCCTTGTCCTTCCGACACGTACTGCACCTGTGAGGGAGCCCAGTGTTGCAAAAGAGCTTGAGTTGCTTCCTTGTTCTGAGCTAGCTCCAAGCCGTGTTGACGAGAACACCGATGATGTTGTTCATGGGTCTAGGAGAGCCCCATTGTCCTCTACAGTTCCTGAGCCTCCAATACCTCACGTTTTTGATGGTCCTGCTCTTCCTGATGCATCCAGTATTGCTGTTCCTGACGCGTCTGATGTGGGTTCTGCTGAAGTGTTCAAAGTGCTTCCTCCAGTAGTTTCGCTCAATGGATCTAAGATTTCAGTTTTTTTTCCTGAGAGCGCCGTGTTGGCCTTTGATGAAGAAGGGATGGAGACCTTTAATCGTGCGTTGTTGGAGGCAGGTGGGCTTTTAGAGGAACTTGAGAGCATGGCAGATCTTTGTTTGAACCTATTTGATGAGAGTGTCACTGTAGCTGATGAAGTGAGGTGTGATTCTTCCCGGGTTGATGAGTTTCGATTTTCCGGTTTCGATGTAGATGGTTTGCAAGGTAGCCTGAGTTGGTTTAGTGGTCTACAACGTTCTTGTAGTGCCGACTCGATTTTCGAGGGTTTCCAGCCACGTGCTGCAGTCAATCATCTCGCGGACTTACGACGCATTATACAGAGCGCCCGGTTGTCTATTGAGGAAAATAGACGTAATAGTCTGACTCGGTTCAGAGAAGTGGCCAGCAGTACTGGCGCCTCAAGTAATCAGTCTAATGCTTCACTGCGTCGAAGTGTACCTGGCTTTCGTGGGCGTGAGTCGTAACTGTGATTGTTGTTGTCATTGTTTTGTTTGTTGTTGTGTTGTCATTATTGTACTTGCTTGTCAATTTTAATGCAACCTGAAATAAAAGTAAAATTTTAATACATCCATCTTGTCGTTTTAGGATTGTTATAGAGAAAAACTGGGCCATTTGCTTGTTAGGAATTGTAAAGGACTTGCGGGATGCATGGCGGAGTCCCGATTTTTTCTTAACTTAAGTGCTTTCAGTATGTGAAAGACACTTGGTGGGGAGGAATGTTAGGGGCTGCATTTAGGCAAATGAATTATTTATTGTGTTTCAATTAATTCTCTCTTTTGTGTCCCCAGTGCTTTAAAACTAATAAAGTGACTGCAAGTTAAAGTTAAATTAATGCATGTGATGATGTGAATAAGTATTGTTGAAGCGAGTCAATTTTCTGGGTTCCTGCTTATCTGGTGCTTACACTGACTCGCCAACCACTCATACTGCCTACTGTACATGAGCCTGCTTTCTGGCAATGAAGACTTCCTTGCTGTTCTGTCACTTACCTACTAAGATTATCCTGGCTCTTAAATAGGTAAGTCAAGGGAACACTCTCGCCACGCATCTCAGTCCTAAATTTTAATTATTGAATGTTATCAGTAAATGTTTGTACATATATAATCAATCATCCCTTAAAGTTGTTTTACAGTTTTGCATTAGGTAGATCAATTTGTTCTTATGTGTTCCTAGGGTACTTATGTGTTTCAACTTCCAAGTGTTATTGTTGGATAGGTTTTATGTGTTCTTGTTCCTGCACTTTTGCAGGGCGGCCAATGTGGGGCATATTCTGGACCAATTTGGAGCGCATTCCGGCAAGTACTGAGCTAGTTTGATACCAGTTCTGGACGAGTGACAGGCAAGCTTTGGGCTCACTGAGCTACATTGCAGTCGAGTCTTGGGCTGCTCTTGAGCTACTCGAGCTGACACTAGAGGCCAGCGTTGATGCCTCTTTAAGTCCTGTCCAGCAACTCATGTCAGAGCTGCCTTAACGTGCCAGTTGAGTCTACCCCAGTAACCCCACTGCTACTCTCAAGTAAGACCACCGCCATCTTGTTTCTTTGGTGCAGACGCCACTTGTTGGACCAGGCCTGACCCAGGGCCTGTTCTGAGCTCTTGATTCCTTAGCTTCATTATTCTTGATTAGATTTAGGATACTGATCATTATTCTGGCCCAGTTTAGTTTATTTACTGTGTATTCTTGTTTATTCTTTACTGTTCAAACCAGTGTGGGCTGCTGGTTATTTATGTTCTCATGCTAGGTTCACCCCATCACTCATATAGTCAGATGGGGTAAGACAGGACCGAAATCACTAACAAGCCTGTAGCATCTATACCATGAATAACTAAAAAACCCTAAACCTATCACAAGGTGTATCTATGCAATGGGCTTCTAAGCTACAACTCAAACGTTTTGCATCTAACATAGTTTTCTGTACAAGTTAAAAAAAGTGAGCTGGTCCCATCTTACCCCATTGGGGTAAGATGGGACCGGGGCTGGGGTAAGACAGGACCAACTGGTAATTCTTATGTTACAAGGTTTTTAAATAAAAGTACAAATCTGATATTCAATATTATCAACCTAGAAACACATTATTTGATTAAACAACCACTGGTTACTGTTTTGTGTTGCGAGAAGTCAACTCTAATATCAGTCACATTGGAGTTTTTGTCATGAGAAAACTTTGTTAAGCATAGTAATAGTGGGTTGGCTTTGGTTCATTGTAGAGCACTGCTAAATGCTTCATGTATATTCCATTAGTGTCATTGTCTGAAAAATTTATCAAATTGGTAATAAAACCAATGGATAATAACTTAAGTGTCAGAGGTCATGTGTTTTCTTGCTAACTGCATTTGTGGTGCACTTCTTCTAATGTAGCCCATGCCCTCTC